TGCAAATATATTGATTATAATAAAATGTACATAATTAAAGGTGTAAGCTAATGCAGAGATCAATGTTAACGGTAGAAGATTACTTATTTTTGACAACGTTGAAATTGAAGAAAGCATCCGATTAGCAAATACAACAAGTATATCCGGAAATGTTCAATCTTGAAGAAGGGAAGTTTTTAAGTAAGTGCTCTAAGCCGTGGGAATAATGTCTTCAACAATTATTTTTTTACATTGACGAAGGCACTATGGAAATTTCCTTCAAAACTTCATCTATAGCGGTGATTCGTCCGAACGGCTTTGCCTATAATAATAATAGAACTTAAATATCATTCTAACGTGAAGCTTACGTTTAATGGGTGGCAAAAATAGGCGGAGCTACCTCGCGCTCTAGTGCACGTCTATACAGCGTTGAACTACTTCATGTTTATATGCATTGTGAAAGAACACTGAAGAAACGATGTCGCGCTATCGAAACATGTTCATCGAGCAAGAAAACAAAGAAGTGTGTCAAGCTCTTGAGTTTAAACAACAAGGCGGGGCAAACGTGTCCATCTCTGATGGATGGTTTGCCTTAATGGTACAATCAGTGTTTAGACTATATCCATAGAAAACTTTAATCGAAATATTAAATCAATAGGACTTGTCTCTATCATAGTCAATGATAGAGACAAGTCCTATTGATTTAATATTTCGATTAAAATTCAACGTGAAACTGAAATAAAAAACGTTATTGGCATTATACATATGATAGACCATGTATGGTCCGAAAGTTCTATATTAATATTTGGAATATTTTTATTTTAATAAAAGTTCTAATTTAATAAAAAATGGTAGTTTCGATAGAAATACTTAATAAAGATTGTTCATATAGTTTTATGTTAGAAAATTTCCTTCGTAAATATTAAGTTATAGTAGAATTGGACACATAAAAATCTGCAGTCGTCAATTTTTATTGGACAAAATGTTCGGCACGATCTTATAAATTGAATGACTTATTTTAGGATTATTCCAAAGAAAGTCGAGTCTATATACATGGAAAGATGAGAACACAGTCGATATTTTGGTAACCAAAGCTTCTTAAAAACGCATTGTCTATATTCTCATGTATTTATTTTATAAACTAATGACAGACAATATTTACTTAAACTGCTTATCATTTTTCTATAATGAGTCATTTTCTTTCCAAATATCACATTCGAAACAGCGTCAAATATTGCATAAGATGGTAGATAGTTTAAAGTTTCACAAAAGATGTTTTTGACTTTTCAAAGATCACTTTCTGAAAGATGTGCAGTGTCTAAAACTTTTTTTGGAATGTGATATTTGGAAAGAAAAATGACAAAGACCTTAAATAAATATTGTCTGTTGTTTGTCGTCAAATAAATGCATTATATATTATAGATGATTTGCTTTTCAGCAGTTTTAGTTAGCAAAATGTCGCCTGTCTTCTCGTCTTTCCACTAATATGTGTCGAGTTATTTTTAGAACAACTCTGAAAAAAAAAACTTTATGTTCGAGATCGATTAAAAAATTTTGCCCAATATTGTAAATAACCTTTAATGAAACAGATTTCGATTCGAATCAATCATAAATGATGATTTCAAAAAACTATACGATCATTATCATCTTGGTTTGTTTGTCATCATGAATGTTTGTTCGATTCTATGACATTTTTTTAATTGCACATATGCATTTATTTTAAGTATCATTTCCGTTTCATGACACATTTGTTCCAGAATGTTTTATTGATTATAAGAAATAGTCGATGAATCATATTTATTGCACATTAAATAGTATTTAAAAATAATTTATTTTTCAAGCTTTTAAGAAATTACAATTTATTGACGTGTTCATAGATGGTATGTTGTTTTTATCCTTAGTATTATTTACATATACGTGTATTATTTGAGATATTCAAAAAGTTTTTTTTTTTTGTACCGATCTTTGTCTTGAATTATTTGTTAGAAGTAAAGTTCGAATATTTTCTTGATAATATGAAGAACTATTTTAATATTTATCCAATCGTTTATATTCCATACTTCAATAGAAATTGGTCGTAAATATAAAGTACATAACAACTATAAATTTCCAATGAAATAGTAAGTGGCAGGTTGTCAAATAATTTCCTTTTCGTAAAATAAATATGGCGTGAAGTAGTATACTCTCGTTCATTTTATTATAGTTTCTTGTTTTGCTGCTGTCTTGTCATAAATGAATTCTGCTATGAAAAAAAACTAACACATCAAATTCTGTTTCTTTCTATTTCTTCAATATTAACTCAATCATTGACAATCAATATACGCAAATGGATTCGCTTTTGACTTAATCTTATTGAATTGTGGCAGAATACTTCAACATCATATATGAAAAATAAAACATAAAAAGTTCGCCTCTCTAATAAGTATTAAAAATCACTATTACAAAGGAACTAATTCGATTTGTTGACATACTCTTTGATGTCAAAAATGACATGAATCATCATCCAAACTTTATCATATGTTTGTAAGATAATTTATAGGTTTCTATGAAGAATTTACTACTGTTTGACTTATTGTTTGCATTCATCATCCATCAGTTTCTTTAACAAGAAGCAAAAAATTTTAAATCAATTAATAAAGATTTTAGTGGAGGGAGGGAGTCTTCTACTGTGTCATATTTTTTAATTAACTGAGTTTTTCAAAAAACTAAAGTGATTTTGAGGACTTAGAAAGACACTTTTAGAAATTAAAAAGTTCAGAAATAACCTTGATCTCAGTCTTATCAATTTTTTCAGATCAAAACTTTGAAAACTAGGCATATTTTGACGTAAATATACGAATTAAACTTTCAATTTTGCGACAAATTTATTAACGAAAAGGGAAGTCTTTTATTGTAGGAAAGAGCTAAAAATATGGTCGTAGTTCAATCGATAATGAAAATTCTGTAGTAATTAATATTAGAATAGCATTTATAAATAATGTCAATATCGATAATTTTGCATGAATAGATCACATCAATGTATTTATTTGCATAAAATTGTCTAGACGAACGAAAAACAGAGACTTAATTATAAGTGTCAAATTTTGTTGAAAACGACATTTAATGATTTGTAAAATGCCATTTACATAATAAACTATTGCGTTTGTACTATTCAATTAACTTATTTTATAACTGTCTGTTTAGTAGTATACCACATCAGAGATTTTGGCAAGATTTTTATATCTGAACAGGTAATGAAGGAATGAATTTAGCAATATATTTTATGAAAATAGACGGTTTTCTTTTAGTATGAATAAATGCAATCAGAAAAAAAGCTGCGTGAGTACGAGCAAAAATATATTTTCGAGACATCTGGAAAATATTTTATGTGTATAAATGAGCGTCATATGATAGAGTGTGAATACTTATCAATATCAAATTGACCTAACATAGATGACTATTCGATAGCAATTAGCGAATGGTGAATAAGTTGTTTTCATCGTTGTCAATCAAATAATTTTGCATTACAAAAAACGAACGAAAAATTGCGTTCTCATGCGAGTAATAATGATTTTTCATCAATTGATGATATAAAATGTCGTCATAATTGTTACGCCCAAGCGATGACTACGTGACTAATACGTAGCTCTTTTTTTTGTTATTCTAGCATTTTTAACTTGATAGATTGTGTGCTATTGATCATATCATGACCTTGGTTCTCACTTTATTACTTTTTTTTCATGTAAAATATTTCATTTATTCTTTTGCCTAGATAGATATACATTTTTCTTCCTTCTCTTCTCCTCTCCTCGTGGTCTCGAACGGCGACGATTTTAGTAGTAAAGAGATTTCTCCTATAACGTACGCTACGCACGCGCTCGTTCTCTTTTTCTTGTATTGTATATATTCCTCTTATTTTTTTTTCTTCGTTCGGCATGGAAGGCAGCAAAAACGGCACCATGTCTCCATCATTATTGCATTCACAACGACAACAACATCCATTAATCGGTTACTATCTATCACGAAAAAAATTTTCTAAACTTCGTTTTGATCAATTTTTACTTCGATGTAAACATTTTCATATTGATGCAATTGAACTAACATATGATTATTTCGATCGACCAAATATTCGTATTCCACAATTAATTATTCATAAACTAGAAGATGACCTAATATCACGTTCAATTATTGAAAAAATTCGTTTATTACCAAAATCATCGACAATTATTCTTGATGAATTTAATTCAATATCAAGATTATTAAATCGTTATGAGCAATATTCATTATTAAATTCAAATAAAAAACTTTATGTTGTTCCACCATTTATACGTGTTACAAATGATGATAATAAATTAATGATTGAAAAAATGTTAATTAATAATCAAATATCATTTCCAATTATGTGTAAACCTATTCAAGCTCATGGAGATAAATCACATGATATGAAAATTATTTTTGATGTTCAACATTTAAATGATATTGATAAACCTTGTGTCTTACAACAATTTATTGATCATGACGGTTTTCTTTTTAAAGTATTTGCTAGTAAGTTTTCGTAGAAAACGACAAAAAAAAAGGAATTATCTGATTTTATTAATTTTTTCTTTAATGTCTCATTTAGTTGGTCAAAATAATTATCATATAGTACGAAGAAATTCTATACGCAATCTTAATACATATTCATCTCGGGAGACAATATCATTTCATTCCAGTGAAGTTTCAAGTTCTCAAGCTGATCATATACTTTTATCAAGTGATCCATCAATAATAATAACTTTTGATCATACATTAGTTAACAAAATTGCTCAAACAATACAAAATATATTTGAATTAAATCTTGTTGGAATTGATATTATTATTGACAGAAATACGGGTGATTATGCTGTTATTGATGTTAATTATTTTCCAGGTTACGAAGGTATTACTGATTTTAGTACACAATTATTTGATTTATGTCAACATCTACTTCATATTTCTTAGTATCAACAAATATATTTGTTTTTTTTTTATCGTTATTTATTCAATAAAAAAAAGACAAAAATTTAGTTTTCAAATTTAATATAGTATGCTGCATTGGATGAATGAGATATGGCTACACCAAGTACAATTGCTGATATGACACCAAATAATTCAATAAATAATATCGTTCCTAACACTCCAGCTATAATTGGTAATTTATTCCATACCCAAATAGCAACAGCTTGAGCACAACCCTCACTATAAGGAGTTGGTTTGATTAATTCATTCGAATAACATGATGGGGGAAGTTTACGACTATGTTTACTATAATCGGAAGGACCATTAACACCACAACATTGAAATTTACCTTCTAAGTTTTCAATAGTTTTAATAATGTCGGTTTGATTTTGACTATAAGCGCGATCAAATACTTCCATGAAACCAGAATCATATGTTTTCCATACATCATTACGAAATACTAATGTTACAATTACAGCAGCAAATTCAAAGAATATAATAAGTGACAAAAAAACTGAATATGTGTATAGAAAACCTCGATTTTGTAAAACAGCACCTAAATAAATATAGAATAAATTTTTTATAATCATGAACTTTGTTATTTAATATACCTAAACAACCAAATGCAGCTAAACATGCAGTTAATATACCAACAACGATCATGCCTACTGCAATCCATTGCATTGCTTCTTTTCCAAGTGCTTCTGATACTTCGTAAATTTCAGCGATAGCAGTAAAATTTCCATTGACTTTAACATATATGCCGAAACCCATTACACCAAAACCAATAAGAAGAAATAGGATATTTAATGCAAATAATGCTGCGCGTGTGCATTGAACACCACACGAAAGTTGAACCATGGTTGATAATTTTTTGTTTTTGTCAAAGAAAAAAGTCCAAAAATTTCGAATTTATGAATCTTCTTATACCAACAGATAAAAAATATTGTTGACTGTGATGATATGAGAGAGATAAAAAAAAGCAATGCAAAATGAGTAATCATTTTGATAATTTTTTCAGGTATAATGATGCAGCCAAAATGTTTTCATGTCATATGATACTTTTATTAAGATATTAAAGTAACTTAAGAAAAGTTTAAAGAAAATCTAATTAGAAATTGAACTATTTAAGAAAGAAAATCGACCTGTTATAATGAAATTATATTCATTTAAACATAAAAACATGCAAAGATTATTTATTCAGAACCACATCAGCACGCGAGGTTACTTGGTGTGAAAATATAATACATCAGTTTAAATATATCTGTAATCGAAGCATTAGTAATCTGCATGTCTCTCTAAGGATGACTGATAAGCTTCATATAATAACAATATTTTCATCCTGTTTTTTACACTTTTTTTAAACGAAAAAATACTAGTCCAATTAAATTTCTATTATCCAAATAAGAACGTAAAGTAATAGAATAAATTGAATTTAACGATAATGAACAAATTTATTGTTCAATTTTGAAGTCAACCACTGAATATTTTGTATATGTATCTAATCAATAATGTGAGCAATTGATTTATGTGGGTATCAATTTGTTTCGTCAACAAAGAAATTTCTCTACGTTGTCAACAGAATTTTTTTTTCTCCCTTTTGCCAACCAAGAAATTGTCCCACTTTATCAATAGAAATCTTTTTCTCGTTTCGTCGACAAAGTAATTTCTCAACTTTGTCAATAACTTTTTCTTGCTTTTACGAATAGCAACTTTATAATTGAGAGTTTGGCCGAAAAATTAATGTTTGAACTTTTCTAAAATATTTTTAACACTTGAAAACCACATGAGCTCAATATTTTTTTTGTTTGATCAATTAAATTACACTTAATAAAATCATTTAGAGCAAAAAATCCATAATGCAAACACTGGAGTATATAGCAACTGTAACATTATAGTGATGCCGACTTTTGTTAAATAACTATTCAAATTTGAATGAGTATAAGATAAAGTTTTTCTTACTGTATGACTCTGTTAATTTCCATATTTTATGAGCAATAGACTTTCGACAATTTTCAATATAAAGCTTGCTATCTAGATTCTTGTATTCATCTATATTATGTTTAAGAACAAGATCATTTGATTTAAACTTTGTTCTAAACAATGTGTTGATTCAAATCTGTCTACATGGACTAACGTCTTTGACGACTCATCTTCACTAATTCAACAAGCTTCAAATATCTTACAGCCAATCTAATCTAAAATAAATTTCTATATATATATATTATCACTATTAATAATAAAATGCAACTGATATGATCTACCATATCAATTCTTGGAATTTTAAGACATTACTCTTGAAACATATTTGATTAATTCATCTAGTTTCGGACAGAGTGTATCAAAAAACTTCTTTTAAAGAATCGAACTTTCTATAAATTATTATGCCAACTATCTTGAACATTTGATAATATCAAAAATATCTCTTTATTGTTATACATTTATTACAAGTTAATCAGAACTTTTCATCAATCCTACGTATCTACAAACGACCTAGAAAGTTTAGTAACATGTTTTGAACATGTAATAAAATTTTGGCAAATTTTTCTCTACAGTTGCATCCTTGATTTAATCATATATTAATTTATCTGTGATCTCAAAGCTCATCATATAGCTATTTGAAGAACATACAACTGTAAGAATGGTACTATGTGTTGATTATAGGGTTTGTATCTATTAAATTTTGTAAAATAGACGTCAAAGCACAAAGACTAGTCACGTATAACTTTATTCTTATTAATCTTATATTTTATTTTTTATCAATGATTGTTAATCATGCAATAAATTAAGGCAAGTGATTGAAATGAGAAAAAATTTGAAATCAATTGAAAGTTTTACACATCTTGTACATAGAAAAGTCTTGACAATGAACGATCGCTTTTATTTCTTTTTCTTCATTTCTCTATTGAAAAGTAGAATACGACTATATTTTTCGAAGATTAGCCTCGCCTACATACCATTAACTGTCAAGATATAAATCTATCAGAGATGTCCATCGCGGTTGAAAACCTACCGCTGCCACACCGCGATCTTAAAATAAAAAAAGCTACCGCGCCGCTATCGCGGTGATTTTTTAAGAATCTGCCGCTGCTGGACTGTCACAACGGTAGCGGCGCGATGGTGGCAGCGGCAGTGTTGCCATAGATATCTCTGAGATCTGTAGAAATGAGCAACACGTACGTATTCTCAATATGAAATTTTATTTTTGTGTTACCTACTAGTTATCACAACGGTCGATAAATTTTATAATTAATTAAATAGATCATTAGCAACATCAATTTTATTATTCACGTATTAAACAATTGACTTTATTTCTATAAATATCAAGTGAAGCAAAAAATTAGTCAACTTATAATTTTCCATAAAGTTCTCCATATGAATAATGTGAAATAGCAACAGCCAATGAAATCGAAGAGATAACACCAAAAATTTCAATAAATATGACAGCACCTACTACACCGCCGATTACTGGTAATTCATCCCATATCCAATCAATAATTGCATCAGCACAACCTTTGTTAAATATAGGTTTAGATAATGATTGATCTTGATGACATGACAAAGGAATAGTGGAATTTACTTTTTGATAATCATCAGAATTGACAACACCACAACATTTAAATTCTTGTTCTAAGTCTTCTACTTGTTTAATGAGATCTTGTCGATGATTGTCATATGCATCACTAAATACATTCCAAAGACCAGACTCATAACTATGACGTACACGAACACGAGAACTCATCGTTGTAATAAATGCAGCCAATTCCAAAATCATTAAAATGCTAAGAATTATTGCATATAAATACAGAAAGAGTCGATTTTTTAATAAAGAACCTTAAAAATAAAAATAAAAATAATGTTTTTTGAAATAATATTATTGTTTTTTTCTCGCATACCTAAACAACCAAATATAGATAAAAGTATTGTAAAAATACCAGTAACAATCAAGATAACTCCCACAACTGCAATAGCTTCTCCACCAATAATTTGTGCATTAATATGATCTGATAATGCGACATCAAATTTTTTGCTCACTTTAAGATAAATACCAAACCCCAATAAAGCAAAACCAAATAGAATAAATAAAACATTTAAAGCAACCAAAATTGTACGTGTAACTTGGACACCACACGAAAGACGAATCATGGTATGTGAGATGTTTTTGTTTGAAAAGAATATAATCTCATTACAGAACATCAGCTACCTTAAAATAAGGAAAGATAACAATCATGACTCATGCATGAAAAGATGATATTGTGAAGATAAACTTTGAGAAAAATGAGTCAAATTGATAATAGAACAAGGCATCATGTGTTATCGGACATTGTAACAATATTCAAAACAGTAGACCATTTTAAAATCTCGATTAGTGAGAAATATATAAGTTTATTCGTCATGAAAATATTGATGATCTACGTGAATTTTTATTTTGACTGTTTAAAGTATACTTTTTTGAAATTAATAATTTTTATTGTTATCACTAGTGCAAATGTTACAGAGTCTCTCTTTTTTTTCTTTTGCATACATTGAAAAATCGAGTAAATAAGGACTGAAAAATTTCTTTTTTTTTTATTCGCAAAAAAAGACTCTCGACAAACTGCATAAATTGTTTGTCAATAATCCATACTCACACTTCATTTTGACTTAAATCATTTTATCATTTACTATTATATGATATATACGTATATAGAAAGAAAATTAATATATTTCAGATATGTTTTGGTAGACAGGACGAAATAATTTCATTTCTTGAAATTAAATACTATCGTGCTAACACTTTAAGCAATGCATTGAACTCTTGGACACAATAGGTTATGGAAAACCTTGATATTCATTTTTGTCCTTCCGACTTTTTAAAATATTAAATCGTATATAAAATAAAACCCTGAGATTCAATCTAGTTTTTATTTCCTTTTTAACACCAATCATGTTTACATATGATTAAATACCTATACTGTTACAAAATACATTTCAGTATATATGCCAGTATAATCATTGGTGTCTCTTTCTTTCATTTTGAAAAAAAATAAAAATCAACCATTAAAGGCCGTTCTCTTTCTCACTTCGAAAATGTCAAATTCATTCTCTAGTATATATAATCGTCGATATTTGTGTCACTCTAACAAAATGGCACCTGTTATCGGCAAGATTTTATTTTTTTCGTTATTCAAATAAACATATGACGATTTTACTTGAGATTTCGAATCTTCATTGTTTTTAACCATAATATAAATCCATATGTTAATTGAAATATTCATATCAGAATAAATAAGCATTATAGATTATAAATTTATATGAAGTGTGCATTAAACTATTTGATTTTTTTGTTCTGAGAACGTGATGTGTACAAAAAAGAAGGAGAGAAGAAAAAAAATTAATACTAACTAACAGGAGATGCGATATCGTTCGTTGACATATACAGGTACGTATTTATGTAAAAAAAAAGAGAAACCAAATGGTGTTTATTTTGAAATGAGAAAAAAAAAGAAGAAAGAATCGAAATTGAATCATGCTCTTTTACTATTCTATGCACAAAAAGGGAGAATAAATTTATCGATTTTGTAGACGATAATCGTCTTTTTTTTTTGCTATTCATTTTTTTTTATATTCAAAACCAGAACATTGATATAAATATATATATATAGTCTTTTGCCCTGCTTTACGTTTACAATCAATGAGAATGAAGATAATACGACCATGAATTTAAGCACAACGAAAGTCAAGTGTTGTATGTATATTAAGATTTGTTTATTATAGTTAACCTAACTGCTATATAGAAAATATGTCGACAACGCATTAAGTTTTCAAGTATTATTTGTACGGTGTCTTTTTTCTCCAATATATGTTTTATTTGCGAATTTTAATTATTTTTTTCAAAGCTTTAAAGAAAATATATTGTCTGCATGATAGTTCTCTTTTGTATAAAAGAAAATAAGAAGGACGGGCGTTGCTTTTATTTTGTCACATACATTGTGAATTGATCTTATATATATATATATAATAGTTTATTGGTCGACTGCAAACAACAAGAAACGGAAATTGAAACGTTCGTTCTGTTACTCGCATCAGACACAAAAAAAAGAGTCTTCTGATTATGTTTATTGCTTACAAAGAAAGATCGATCGAGAATATGCCTATATATAAATTGAAAAATTATTCGTTTATTGAAATGAATTATTTGTATTCTTTCTTTTTTTTTTCTTAAATGAGTATATAATTTATTCACATATATATATATATATATTTATGTGAAGTAGTAGTTAATTTTAAAAAGAAAAGGTTGTCTTTTTCCGCTACCATATTGTTCTAATCATTCTCAAATAACAAGAGATGAACCGTTAAAAGTCGATTATTTATCAGCAAAACAGAAGATTCAACGAACGTTGTCTATCATCATTTCGGCTGATTGCTTTAAATAAACATCCGAGTAAGCTTTTTTTCTTCTGTATGTTATGTTTTCATTTTGTTAGAGTGGCTGCTTGTTTTCCAAGATTTATTATTTGTATCATCGAATAAGACATGCTATATGTTAGTCTTATCCATATAGAAAGAAAAAGAATATTTTCATCTGCAATGTGTATATCTATACGTTGTTCTTCTATCTTATTCATTGTTGCATCACACACAGTGTATGATACAAGTCGTATGGGGAGATATTTGAAGAAATGATATGTCAATGGATATGATTATAGGAAAAGAAAGGAATATTATTATCTCAAGAGGAAAAAAAACCAAGATTTATTTGTTTTTTGGCTAAGAAGCAAAGAAAAAAAAAAGAAATTTGTTTCTACTTAAATTATCTGATTTATTACATATGTTGAAGATATTTCCTCGAGATAGATAAGATCTTTTATATAAAATGATTTTCTTTATCTTAACCTAATTTATTCTTCTACTAACGACTTCTTTTTTGTCGGTAAAATATCATTGAAGAATTTTGAGAATTTGATCTTTTGATCTTTTTCAAAAAAAATAAAAGAAAATGAAGAAGAATAAACCAGATGTTGATCATTTTCTTTCTCATTTTTCAATTAGATCTGTATGTTACTTCCGTTTGTTCTTTCAATATACGTGTTTTTTTTCCTTATACATATGAAAATATCGGGCAGTAGCATAACGCGTGCCTGTTAGACGATAATGATGATGAGCCAACGGGGTTGTTTGATTTCGAAAGAAAAAGAAAAAAAGATGGGCGTCTTGGCGTTTTGCTTCTAGTGGTACCAATAAATAGATGAGAGACGATTGCAAAAGAGACACAGAGAAAGAGAGAGAGAGAGAGAGTTTGCTTTTTCTGATCCTCATATAGAACAAAACTAATAAATCTTCCTTCTCTTGTTCTATTGTACATATATATGTATTTTTTTCTCTGTTCTTTATCTCATCGTTTTTTTTTTGTTTTTGCTTGATGATCATGATTGAAGACGAGTACAGATTGAAAGAAGAAGAATCAACAATGATTGGTGACAATAATTCAACGATGAAAGACGATGAAATCAATGATTTGTCTGTATCTAATAATAAAATAACGAATAATGAGTTATTCAAATCAGTTAATAGACGAAAACAAATTAAGCCAAATCGGTAAGTCAATTAATATATAAAAAAAAAAACAACAACAACAAAAGAATTTATTATTATTATTATTCAAGTGTTACAAGTGATGATGATGGAATTCAACAACAAGAGTTAATTATCGATGAAACGACAAGTAAAGAAAATAAAACTTTCTTTTTATTCGTTTTTTATTCAATAAGAAATCTTTATTAAAATTTTTAATTAAATAGATTTACTTAATGGTAATCAATCGTCACCAGAAGAATATATATCAAATAATAATAATAACAATAATGTTCGACAACAACAAGAAGCCTTTTGTAATTTATGTGAACGTTCATTTTGTAATAAATATTTTCTTAAAACACATTATGCTAAAAAACATGGAGGATTTAATATAGTATCACCATTATCATTAACAGAAAATAATGATAATGTTAATGTTTCTTTGTCTCCATCATCGTCATGTTTATCAAATGAACAACCATTACCTTTAATTAGTAGTCAACAAGCCTCACCTATCAATAATAATAATAATAATAATAATAAAACAATCGAAAAGAAAAGTGAAGATTATTGCGAGGTTTGCTAAACGAAAATAAAACATTTATTATAAAATCTTTTTTTGTTTTATTTTTCTTTTCATTTTTAGATTTGCCAAAAACATTTTTGTAATAAATATTATCTTCGTGTAAGTGTTAATTAAAAATATATTTTTTTATTTTTATTTTAAATATTAAAAAATATTATTAAACATGTACACTAATAGATTGAGTGTGTTACTGTATTTGTAGAGATTAGTTTGTTTAGAAATGTGATGTTTAATTTTGTTCAGATATTTTATATTCTTTATCTAAGGCGAATCGGTATTTTTTCGATGGTCTAATATAAATATTGAAAAGAAAGACGAAGAAGAAGAAAAGAGTAGTTGTATTAATAGTTCAGCGTATGTAGACATATTGAAAAGAACAGAAGAGCTTATCTGACTTTTAATAAGCTTATTTATTCAGAAGCACAAACGAACATACGAATGAATTTCAATTCACATACCAATGTTTATTGAAAAGAGAAAATAAACAATTCGTTAGTAAGGGCGTTCAGTAATGATCTAGCCTGAAGAAGAAAAAAAAGAGGTCAAAATAATTTTTCACATTGTGTGAAACACCATATTGTCTCTTACAATCTTTTTCAAACGAACTATGTTGAATACTACATCAAATAAAATATGATTATTTTTGATAGAAACATAAAGGTGAATGTCATGGTGTCTATACTGATTATATTAAATCTTTACAAAAAAGTACCAATGAAACTCCGACCAAAACTACTTCAAATCGACCATCACCATCTATTCAAAGTAAAAATACAAAATTTTATTTCATAAAATTTATTCGAAATTTATATTTTAGCTCCATCGAATCCTTCGAATACACTTTTATTAAATCCATTTTATCCTGGACCATCAGATATAAAAAGTCTATTTCCTATTCCATCATCACCAAATATAAGTATGAAATCATCATCACCAAAATTATCTCCTCAACGACCAATTCGTCGTTGTAATATATGTGAACAAGAATTTCGTAATAAATCTCTATTTCGTATGCATATGAATACATTTCATCCAAATGAAAAAAATAAAAAAATTTTATCAGCATCTTCTCCAATTGCGTCATCAAATAATCTCGGATTTTTATCACCATTTGTTGATACAAGTAGTCAACTTGCTCAAAAACTTGTTACTGGTCAAACATCTCAAGCATCATATGGAATTGTTAATGATTCATATTTTTGTGCTAAAATGGCTGATAGAGTTGTTTGTGAAATATGTAATAAACAAGTTTGTAATAAATATTTTCTTAAAACTCATAAAGGTAAATTTCGACAAAAAACAAATCTTTTCAATAAATAATTGTTTGGTTTTCTATATTAGCAAAAGTACATGGTATAAAAACTAATGATATACAAGAGCAAATTAATGAAAATATTGATAATTCAGATACATATTGTTCATTATGTAAAAAAGATTTTTCAACAAAATATTTATATTTATTTCATATGCAAACAATACATAGTGATACATCCGATCCAACATATCAAACATTCATTGAATTAATGCAACGAGCTGCAGCTATAAATGAAAATTCAAATCCATTTTTATCACTTGTTAATACAGAACAGTTAGAAGATGAAGCTGATGGTAATGATGATAAATTAAAACGTAAAAGAAGTTTAAGTCAAACATCAACTAATAATAATAATAATAATAATAAACCAACGAAACGTTTTAATTCTTTAACAGATACAAATGCTGGTTTACAACCATTTTTACTTGAAAGTGAAGATCCAAAATTTTCACATACATTTGTACCATGTATGGTTTATTTACCTGTTACGCGACGAGTCACAAAACAAGTCAAAATTAATTTAAAATTAAAACCTGTTTTAGCTGATGCTTCTTCATGACACTTTCTTTTTTTTTTCTCTTTTTTCTTGTTTTATGTATTTGTTATTATAACACTCATTAGACCATAAATCTTGTTATGACAAGAAACATTACTTATTTGTGTGCGTGTTTGCTGTTTGTTTTCATTTTCATTTTCTTTTTCAACAATATTTGCCTAATGTACTAAATGTAACAGTTTAGATAAATGTACGATGACATCTGCATTGAACAATTGTGACAAAAAAAATTGTAATGCTCAATATTCTTAACTAAAAAATATATAATTCGAACTTTTGAGATTTGTTACGATAAAAAGTAAATTACATTATATAAATAGTTTTTTTTCGAACAGTCCATTATATTATATTAGATCGGTTACTATCAATAGTACCCAATAAGATACCTGCATTGGAGTCTTTCTTCAGAAACGGTCAAACTTCTCTACATGGTCAGTCTAGCATTTAGTTGACTTTCATACAAGTCTCTAGATCGAGCAACTTTTAGATATTAACAAAAAAAACGGTATAAATTGTGTTTCTAGACGTTTCAACATCGAAGAATAATCTAAAGCATGACGAACAAGAGAAGTACCTGAGATGTGCAACTTCATTTTGATTCGTTCATACATCACTCGATGAAATGTATTGAAATAAAAAAAAAAAAGTCTAACAAGAGTTCAGGTTTATCTTAAATTGATTAAAAGTTAAGACTTCTTTACTGTTTTTTTTTTGTGTATCCATAGGAGTCATTACATATAAGGTGCAATCAATGCGGTTCAATTGATCTCATCGATTTTGCAGTTACTTTTACAGTAGATACATCTAGTAAAGTTATAAAGAAACTGAAAATTTCAGCTCAAATTGAAAAGCTGTTCTTGAACTATAGACGTTCTAAGTATAAGTATTCAGCTATGTTTGAAGTGCCTTGTGATGCACTACATTTCAAAAAGCTTTCACTTTCTTAAAAATAATAACAGTTATAACAGACAGTTCTTTTTATCAGAGATAACGTATATTGCAAAAGTAATGGCATAAAATGTCGATCCTTATATTTTTTCATAGATACGAGTCAGAAAGAAAATTTTTTTTTATCAATTGATAGGAATTTAACTCCTTTTTCGAACTGTTCATGTTTTATTTTTGTCACATACTGAGTAACTTAGCGGCATGAGAAAAGAAAGAGAGGCATTCTAAAAAAGAATCTGCACTTTTCTTACAGTTCAAAGTAACGACACTAAATATCGACCACTGTATCTCTCTCTTTAAAATACAATTTGGAACGATAATTTTTTTTTTTCAGCTGATAGGAAATTTTTTGCTCTTTTGAACTGAATATAATTTGTTTTTTGTCACACATTCATGAGCAAAATGAGAAGGAAAGAAAGAGAAATGCTCGGTTGAGAATTTTTCGATTTTGTCATCGATTCATTAGAGAAATATTGTAAATCAATTGAAATACCGATTGAAACAATTTTGACCTTATTGACAGAAAAGTTTATGAGAGTAATTGGAAAGCTAGAGTTTTGATTTTATTGGCTTCAGGAATCAAACAAAATGTCAATATACTTAGTAAGACTACATAACAGGCTATGATTCAAGATGTTCTTGAGAATTCTGCGTCACGTGTGGCGTGATAGACTGTTATGATTCGCATCTTCGTCAGATGCAGTCATAAGGATTTCCCATTCTTATCTATAGTATTATTCATATGCATTTACATCCTTTTTGTTTTCCCTTATTCTTAGTCATGCGCCATGGACTTTTTCTTTCCTGTCAGATATGATGGATTTTTTCTCTTTTCTTCTGTTCGTCTTTCTTTCATGTTGTTCCATGGAATTTCCTTGTTTTGTTAATCGTTTATGAAATGTTTTGTTAAGGATTTTTTCTATGTTACCGTTCTATATATATTCGTTAGATTATTGTAAAAATGATGGCTAGGAAATAGACATAATTATAGAAATAAAGTATAAGTGGGATTAAGATTTGACATAGACTGTATTTCGTTGTTGAACAAACGTGTTTTGTTTTTCATGCTTTTTCTAATAAAAAATGAAATTTCTGTTCTCTTTCATTAATAGATAGTAGCTGTCGACACATCTACTATTGTCTTAACATCATATTTCAGTTGATTTACAGCATTTCTCTAATGAATTGATGACAAAATCGAAAGGTCTCGACTAAGCATTTCTGTTTCTTCCTTTTTCATTTCCTTCATCAATGTGTGACAAAAACAAATTATATTCAATTCAAAAGAGCATACATTTTTCTATCAATTGATTAAAATAATTGTCGTTCCAACACGTATTTTACAAAGAGATACAGTGGTCGCATTTTATGCCGTTATTTTGAAATATACGAAAAGTGCGGTATTTTTTTTCTTATAGTGCCACTCTTTCTTTTCATGCCGTTCTGTTTATGAGTGTGTGACAAAAATAAGACATGCACAGTTCGAAAAAGGAGTTAAATTCCTATCAAATGATAAGAAAAAGTTTCTTTCAGAGTCTTATCTATGAAGAAATATAAGGATCAGACTTATCAAATCTTCTGATTTGACTAGAAGACTCCTGATTTTTGGACTTTTCTCCTGATAGAAAATCTCCTGATTTCAGGAGCTGATTTTCAAGATTTTTTCCTGATTTTTAGTTTTTTCCTATTTGATTGTTGGCGACATTTTAAACAAATAAGAGAGGTAAAAGAAAAAAAGAGAACCATATCATTGTCTTAATTGTTATAGTTTTTCCAAATTTTTGTAGAAAATATCAGTTCTTCTTCTATATATTTCATATAAGATTCTTGTCTGAAAAACAAGACTTTGAAAATCAGGCAAGAATCCGGTAGGCAGAATCATAAAAAGCCACGCAAGACGTCTCTCATCTGGAAAAAATTTTGCATTTCTTGAAAGTCAGATCTTATTCTTTTTTTTATCTCAAAACAGGGCAATATCTTCGACAATCTAGCAAGATTTCTGCCTTTTATTTTCATTATTACTATGAAACTATTATAATTTCATTTTCACTGATATTTTACGGTCGAAGTTTTACAACAATTAAAAACATGCAAAAAATGCATAGATCAATAATATAACGAGAAAAGTGAAGATACCGATAAAAACAAAAAAAAAATAAGTAGAATTAATAGACATTTTCATAAAATGTTTATCGAGTAGATTATAAAAAACGTAAGAGAAAAACAAAATCGTTTGTTAAATGTTATCTTATTTGTATAGCATACTAACGGTAAAACGCACATTGCAGAAATGGGCGAAGAAGCCCATATAAACGATTTATATAGAGATACAAGAAACAAAACATGATTGTCTATCTTTCCATTCTGGTAGGAATATTTTATCGTTCTATTAATTCATATAAGTACTTTTGCTCGAATTTCAAGAAGAAAACAATTTTAAGTGATGAATAAGAAAAGAAAGAATCGGGAAAGAATGAAGACAGAATAAAACCCGCTGAAATGTATATAATAGATATAACTAAATGTTTTCCTGGTTCTTCTATAGCAAAAAAAACTACTTGTCACAGAACTCAATGTGAAAATAATATCATTTGTATTAAATTATTGATCATCAACTTGGTACGCAAGAGATAAAAGCGCTTATGTGAACGAAAATTCGAATTTTCTATGAGAAAAATCACCAAATGCTTCTTTAACTTCAAATAGAAAATCTCCTCATTTTTCTTCTGATTCATAAACGAAAATCTCCTGACAAACTCCTGATTTTTCACAAAAAAATTCTGATTTCTGAAATTTCAATTTGGTAAGCCTGATAAGAATCAACATTTTTTGCCATTATTTTTGTATCATACGTTATTTTAAACCATGAGCTATATCTTTTCATGATATTGAACGTACCTTTTCGTCTGATATATTCTTTTCTGTGGGTGCAAGTGATCTCTCATTCTACATCTACATCCACACTCATCTAGAAAGAAGAATAGATAGCAACTGATGAAGTTTCACTGTCGTCGCAATATTTTATCATATTTTCAGACATACCAAACGTAAAGTCACGGCCTGAAAACAATGCTCGACAGTGTTTTTCGAATATCATGTGTAAAAGTAACCCGATATTCATGATTTATTGTGCGTCGCTCTGTTTATTTGTTCAGCTAGAACAGTTACACTGCTTGCTAATACTAGTATTCAATCAAATAATTTATGTGCACGCATTTCTACTGAATGTACTGAGTTTAAAATACTCCATAGATTGAACCAGTCGTCATTAGGATACCTTTTATGGTACCTTGTTACCAGTATGTCATAAGATCTTGCTTGGGTATCCTGCTGAGAATTGTCTCAGTACATAGATACTTACCAGACGCTCATCCAGTTTCTATAGCCTTCTATGAAAAATTTTTCAACAGATTAGTAAATTGAATATTTAGAAACATTTTGTCGTTAAATGCAAAAATCCCATAAAGTACTCTAACGTACCGAAGCACTCAAAGGTTTCTGTGACATACCGTTAGCAAGGTATCCTGAACTCACGAGAGCAAGTTTTCAATTGATCAATCCCTTTTTTTAATGAAAGCTAGTAGATCGTAAGTTACTGATCATTCTGGTTTCGAATACAGCCATGAGAAATCCCTTCATCTGTTCACATGCTGATTTTTCATACTAACGAATATTTTTCTAAAACCATTTATGATTTAGTTAGATTATCGAGCCTATTGAGTTTTCTATAAGTTAATAATCTTTTCTTTTTTCTAAAAATGAGTTTTAAGTAAAATAATATCACCTTGAAGTTTTTCACATTGAAATATTGACATGTATCTTTTGCATGAATTAAAATGGCAGTATTTTCTACAGAAAGCAGCGATTTAAAACAGAAAAAGTTACTGTTTTCTAGGCAGATCGATATATTCTATAATCTGGATAGATTAAGAACAACTTTTAGCGAAAAATTTGTTAGTCTAAAAGTTGTCAGCACATAAAAATCTAAAAGAATCTCTTATGATGATATTTAGAACTGGCATAGTTGATAACCTAGAATCCAGTAACTTTCGTAAAAAAACAACTAATCAATTGAAAACATTCGTTCATCAGTATATTCACTAGAGGAAATAGTTGTGATGAATTACTTACAACAGCTTCACATGGTTTTTATATTTATATAAATATCAACATTAATCGAAGCTGTAATCAAATAAACAATGATTTAAAAAAAGACTACTCAGCATTACCAATACTAATCATTTTCTTTTGTCGGAGATGAATTCACGACGAGACTCGAATAAAAATGCATTTTTACACATAATAAAATTTTGCTATTTCTAAGAATATTCTATTAATTAGATGCTACATTTCTCATTACGATAAGTTCTTTTATTAAAATAAAAATTCAATTTTTTTATAAAATGGAAAAAAAGGAATAATTATGCATTAACACGTAATGGTGATTCGTTTACTAGACGAGATGTTCTTCGTTTTCTGCGTGCATAAATTCTACTTGACAAATCTAATGCAAATAATTTTGGTCCTCTACATTTACCTATATATCCATCCATATTAACTGGTTCATATTCTTCAAATGTTGTCATATCAAAATTAATTTTACCATTTTCTATTGTAAAACTAGTTGGCTTAAAACGAAAACCCCAAAGAATTTCTCGTGGTTTATAACTAGTACGATATTGACATGCATCACCAGTTGTTTCCATTGTTCCTTCAATAATAACAACAATTTCAAATGCATCAGGACCGTTACCTTCTGAATTATAAAGTTTTGTTGGTGATATAGGATAAAGTGGTGATGATTCATCGATTCTATGTTCAATAACTAATGGACATAATAACATTAAGTTTGTATTTGAAGGATGTACCGGCATATCAAAATTTTCAATTGGTACAATTTCACCTGAAGATTTTGGTTGTAATTTATAATAAATAACTCGAATAGCAGGACGTGTTATTTGAGTAACAATATTATTTCCTATAAAGAAAAAAAAAACAAAGAAATAATTTTTTTTTTGAATTTAACTAGATGAATACACTTATATTGCATACCAACTTTAAACATAAAACATAAATGTCCATCACGTGGTGCAACAACTGCTCGTTCACTAAATGTTAAAACTTTCATTCGTTGTTTTGGTCTTGCTAATTTATTAAAAACAATACCACCAACATAAATTGTTATTAAAGCACCACTAGCTGATTGAATCATTAATAAAATAACTCCGGCTTTACATTCATCATTAACATGTCTATATCCATAACCAATTGTATGTTGAGTTTCTAATGAAAAAAGAAAAAAAGCTAAAAAACTATTTCCAACATTAACAAGACATGGACGATGATTTGTATTTGGACGTAGATGATCAGGTAAAAAATCTCCATTATAAAAAGCAAGTATATACCAAACAAGAGCAAAAAATGTCCAACTAATTAAAAATACGGCCACTATTAATGATAATACGGATATCCATTTAGCTGAAATTAAATTTGAATACCAATCCGCACATGTTCGACTCCAAACAAATGGTCGATGTCGAATAAAAAAATCAACACGACCTGATTTATAGACAAGTCTATCAGGTTCCCATAAACCTTTTGAAGTAAAAAACGAAGACATCAGTAACAGATACACAAACTGTCAGTACATTGTATGGTGATGTCATTTTTTTCCTTGCATACTCTTTTCAAAGGCAAATCATTCATGCATAAAAATATCATGTGCTCACCGATACATAGACTTATTTATTATTAATTTATAAGAAAAAAAGAAAATTACATGTATCTGTATATCATAGTCCTTGAAATTCTAGTTCATTATACATTTGTATAATAGAACAACACGGACAAAAACACATTGCACATGTGTCACCACATACTGCACCCTACAAAAAAAATTTAGACAATTAGTTATTTATATTTTGAAAGAGTTCTATTTTTTTACCCGTATTCGAAAACCTGTTCGAATTTTTGTTCTCAATCCCGAATTTGCTATAAACAAAGATAAAACAAGCCTGTTTTGTTTTTAAACTCAATCACCTTACCTCCCGGTAAACATCCAGTAAATAGACATTCATTAGTTCGTCCATGTAATTTACATAGAAAACATGGACAACACCAATAAGCAAAACAACCTAAAAGAAAAACAAACACACAAAATTTTCATTAATTTTCTTATCTATTTTTGCTCTTTCATACAAGTTCCAAGATCTTTACAACAACCACATATTCCATTACTCCATTCATTTTCAAATGTCCAAACATTTCCAGTTGGTTGTGTCCGTATTGTGCTAAAGGAAATAAATCAACATAAATAATCATTTAATTCTCAATTTATTAATAAATTTTTATCTTACACCATTAATGATAAAATATTCTTTACAAAAATTTTCAATATAAGCTTAGACTCGTAAGAATTCTTGATGTTTAAATTAGTTGTTGTTGCGTGCAATTGTTGCTGGGACACAATTTATTCAAACAGTTACTGCCATTACATTACCTGTGTAGGCGATAAAAAACAAGCGAAATGGCTTTGATGCATTAAAATGAAGAATTTGATAGACGAAAAAGAAAAAGAGAGATTTTGCATACGTACAAAACGAAGTATGTTTACTAAATAATCAGTGAAGCAAGCGCTGCTACACACATTTTTGTTCTGTTCGTTCATGTGTATTTTGTTAAACAAAAATATGAAATAAAAGAAATTTTCTCTTATTGATAATTAAAACGAAATTCACATTATTTAAAATATTTTGCACCTTTTTTGAAAAAATGAACTATGTACAAAATGAAATTTGACATTAGTTTAAATTTTCATAAGGACAATTTTGTTTTTTTTCTTCTTAAAACTAGAGATAAATGAGTCATTGAAATCGTTCGATAATTATGATCTAATTCATATTAAAATATTACTTATGAAATAACAGTTCTTCTAATCATGTAGTTTAGATTCTATGCATTCATAAGAAAAAAAAGTTTAATTATAATTGAAAATTAAAATTTGTATGATAGATCGAGTTTTAAAATTTGTCTTTTTAAATAAAAATCGAATTTTATAATTGTCATTCTTATGTAAATATCTTAAACGAACAATTGACAGCAATACTCATACGTATTAAAGTATTTCTAATAGAATTTCATAATTTAATCACTTTCAATTTTTTTCTATTTTTCCAACATTACATTATTTTTCTCATAAAATAATATGCTAAACAGTTTCAAACGAAGAAATTTATATTTCTAAATCTAATTCATTTAAAGATATTCGAATTTTAGAACTATTCGAAATTTTTCTTGGTTTTTTTTTTTTGAGAATATTTATAGTGAGTTATTAGAAAAATTTTATTTCACATCACTGACAATATAAGAATAGAATTACATAACTGAACTTTACAAATATATCTCATTAATGGATCACTAACGGTATCAGAACTTGATAGAATGCTTCAACGTTATTATTGTGATTGATTAACTTCATTAATATTCGATGATTTTTCATTATTAGCTGTTAACATATATCAAGCTTGATTGATTTCTGAATTACGACTATCTTCTTATTATGCTTTAATGCTAGCTTTATTCTACTTATATTTTCTGTTATATAAGAAATTGATCTGCATATGTTGATTGTTAAAATAAACATGAGAGACTATTCTAAATAAGATTCAAGTTTGTAAAGAAATAGTTCAATTGTATACTTGATACAAGAAACGTCAAGAATTTCATCATACGAATTATTTGAAACTTTATTCTTGATGATTGATTGATGAAAATGATTTATGAAATATTATTTCATTATTATTTTAAATCGATATAGGAAATTAAAAAGTCTAGTATTGATTAGATGATGACTAAAACTTTGTTCAAGTAGTTGCACTTGAATTTTATTGATTTATTGTCAATATTGAATGATAGTTTTGTTTTTTCTAAATAATGGTGAAGATTTTTTCGTCTGTTCGAAAGCTTTTCATTCATCATGAGCAATAAAAATTGATATGTTCAATGATTATCCTCATATTCATCATATTCTCTCTTTCTTAATCTATCATTTTCATCAATATTGCCAAGTGATAACATGAGAGCTCATTTGTCCTTTTACTCGCTCTTTGTAGAAATGTGTGCATGCACATATGCACATTGAACTCAGCTTTTATTTGATATGTTCTTGTTACAGTATTAAATGCGAAGGTGAATTATCAAATACACAGTACGATTGCCGACAAAGGCCAAATGAAATTCTTTCATATCATGAAATAAAAGAAGCTGTATCATAAGCACTTTTTTTTTGTGTTCGAAAAGGTGTCGAACTCAATTCACAAGGCAATTATTATCATTCTACAATCTATCAATAGGATAATGGTCAGAATGAGAGAAAGAAAAAAAAAGAAAGAAGTACCAACAAATAATGTCCATAGGGCAAAAGGATAGAAAGAAGAAGAAGAAGAAGAAGAACTCTAATCACTTCCAATAAAAGAGGAAAAAATAAGAGAAGTCGTGAGTAAATAGCACAGTAAAGAGAAAGTGTACATTATGTTCAATGGATGAGATGCACTCGTTTTTATATGTATGTAGATCTAATTTTGAATACATTTACTAACGCACTCTTGTATGCATAAAGATAGACATATACGAGTAAAAAAAAAAAGTCCAAATATTATCACTTTTTGATTGAATTGATTAATAAAAAAAACAATGCAAGTTATTCTTTTACCAAGATCAATACTTCAGAAAAATCAATCTCATTCAATTCCAGTGAGTTTATTTATTTCGCTGTTTACTGATCAAAATCTTGACGATGTGTTATAACCAGATGTATGAGCAACATATAAATGTAGTTATATAACTTGAGCTCTCCTTGGCCTTCTCGTTTTTTTTTCTTCTCGCTTGTCTTGCATTTATTCTCCCACATTGATAAATTCATTTGATCACCATTCATGTGGCCCATCATGCAGAACAAAGCTTTATTGAGAGTAAGTTGATATCAACCAAATATAAACTAAAATCTAGTGAAATTAAAATGATATCATGTTCCTTTGTCTGGATCAATTAGGTTTATTTTTACCTTTTTCTATTAATTTAAATTATAAATGGCATAGACATATTCTTCCTTCTTTTTTTTTTTAACCTAGAAATTACATATAGTTAAATAGATATAAGACAAAGAAGAGAACAGGCTGTATTACTTATTCTTCTCGTTTTTTTTTCTCATTTTACACGAGTGTCAGTATGCAGATGAGAACACCTTTAGTATCGAACAAAGAAAAGAAAAAGACATTTGGTTGTCGTCGTCATCATCGAGCTTTTTTTTATTGTAATGCGGATTTAAATTTTACTTCTATTCCTAACACACTCGTACGCATATTACAGAACAAAAAAAAAAACAGAAGATAGTTAATTATGACAGAGGAAAGTGAGGATGAACAGTTTGATCCTGTAAGTGAATCTTTGTTTTTTATTAGAAATCATTTTAAATTTAATATTTCTTTCTAGCGCACTTTCTTAGCTGATCGAGATAATCAAAAGGTTCATTTATTTATCAAAGGTAAGAAGAAAAGAATTGAATAGTATCATTTGATTATAATTCTTATTTTTCTTCTAGCTGGTCGAGATGGTCGATCAAAAGGTGCATGTCCATTTTGCCATGATGTATTTCTTCAATTATTAATAAAATGTGAAGTTGAAAATGATTTTAATTTTGATGTCATAACAATAAATTGTAAAAATCCACCAAAAGAATTTAAAGAAATATCAAAAAAATTACCAACACTTATACATGGTGATATTGTTTTAAATGATATTGATGATATTGAAGATTATCTTGATTCATCATTTACAAATTATAAATTATCAAGCCAAGATCCTGAAGCATTTAAAGTTCAATCAAATGTTTTTACACGTTTTACTTATTTAATTAAAGATGTAACAAATAATTCACAATTATTATTAGATGAATTAGAAAAAATTGATATATTTCTTCGACGTCGAGAAACAAAATATATGTGTGGAAATGAAATAACAGGTCTTGATTGTTCATTATGGCCCAAATTACAACATATTCGTGTTGCTGCTGATTATCTTCTTCATTTATCAATTCCAATTGAATTCTCATCATTATGGCGTTATCTTGGTTCAGCTTATGAACATGAAGCTTTTGTTAAATCTTGTCCATCAGATCAAGAAATTGTTCTACATTGGATTCGTCATGAAACATCACCAAAAGAATATTTACAATTAACAAAAGAAGAACCAAAATATTCTCTTGATATACCTCTAACAGTTTATAATCATTTTCATTAATATGGTTTCTTTTTCTGTTTTTTTATTTCAAATGTTATTGTATTTGTATTATGTGTGATTTTTCTTTTTGACTTTATTTTCTATTCATTCGAGAAGAAATAAGAATAGAGATGTGCCATGTTGGTCGTGCTACTATAATTTCGTTTTTATGCAGTGCAATTGTCTATTGTTTATTTCTTTTTTTCTTCTGTATTTCAAATAATAAAAATATAATGTTAGTCTTGTTGAAATGATTAAATATTTGATTGAAATTCAAAATTTTATCTATCAGGACATTGCATGAACAATACAGTTGTTGTTGAACAAAAAAAATCGAAGATAAAATAAATAAATCAATCAGAAAATGATGGAGAATATTTCTGATTGTATTGGTTCGACAAACTATCAAATAACTGTAGAATTGGAAACTCTAGGATGTGATACAGATCTATATGGTGAATGATTATTTAATTGATAAGTCCGAGAAATAAAATACATATTACACCTTCTAATAAAAGTTTCATTTACGCGGTTACAAAATCTCCTGATTCAACAAAGAGAATTCTGGTTTTTTAGCTGTTCTCTCAGTATCAGAAGCTATTTTCCAAAACAAATTTTCTTCATCTTCACTCTTACGAAGGAACCTTTTCAACTGATTAATTGTTATTGAATTCGGACTCAGTGCATCTGGTAGAATACAGTGAAATATTCTTTTGAGATGAAATTTCCAGGACATAATACTAACAAATAGATATATCTGTGGGTAAAATCTCAAGTCAAAATATTATCATTCGATTTGTTAGTATTTACTGTGTTCGACATTAAAATTCTAGTAGAATGCATATCACTTTGCTCAACAGTGACTGATCAGTTGAAAACGTTTCCTTGTTAGTGACATATTTAACCAACAAGAAAAACAATCTAACATCATTATATGACGTTTGATTTCACAAAGAACAGAAGAAAGATTCGTTGATCAGATGTGACCAGTTGTGAACTTATTTTTTTCTAATGGTAAAAATGTACTTCATTTACAAAAATTAGCTCAATTTACTTTTTCTGTACTCGTTTCCAATATCTTTCATGAATCTATTTCTAATCATGTAAAATTTCTGTGGAATAAATAGTCGAAACAAAATGAAAAATAATTTTGTGTTGGTACTGAATTAAAAAATTACGATTTATTTCGATTGTACAGATCTCTATAAATATTTTTGACTTAAACTAAATTTCTTGAAACAAATCCGGTCATCAGAAAAATATTCTCATGCTGCAAAAGTGCCACGTACGATACAATAAATAACTTATTCTTATTTTCTTTGCATATTCTCATCAATGAATATGAAAAGATTAATACTATAAAATATGTGTGATTACATTTCTTTCTTTTACCACTGCTTACCAAATTTTTACTATCATTACTTTATTAGACGGAGGTAACAAGTGTTTGTACGAACGAAAATATCACTATAAATGCTTTCTGATTTTCGAAAAAACAATATCCTGATGAATTTCTGGTTTTTGTTTTCAGTGATCTTCTAGTTTCGAACGCATCGATTTCATAACTCTGGTCTCATTTCAACGATTGTGGACATATTGAATATTAATTTCACTGACGCGTGTTCGTTTTCTTTCTTTATATATAATCATTCACGTTGAACATCCATCGTATAATATTATCGTCATGAGAAATGTTTTTTTTTTATTTTATCGTCAGTTGCTCTCGTATCTAATTAGCCGAACAAGAAAAACATGATTTGATTAATTATTTCCTCAGACTGACAATCAATTGTGTTTATACCATATATATATGTATATATAAGTCGAGTAGTTGTGAACATCGACAAAAGAATGACAACATCAATAGATCCAAGTGTGGATGAATTATTATTATTACAAGAAAATCAATATCGTATACAAAATTTTGTTTTGGCAAATCTTAAACCAATTGGAGTAAGTAAAGAATAATAAACGAATACTATCAACAAAAGGAAAACATTATATATCTTTTTTTTTCGATAAAATATAGGCAGAACGTAAGATTGGACAACCATCAAATACATCAACTCAATTTATATCTCCAACAAAATCATCATTATTATCATCGCAACGAATGAATATAGATTTTACTTCAAGAGATATAGAAGAAAATAACAATTTATTTGAGGTGTGTTTCTGAAATAGAATAAAAAAATCGATTTAAAATTTAATATTCTATGTAGATCCCATCATTTAATTCATCTATTGAACCATCAACAATGTCTATTTATGATAATTTTCATTTTTCTTCAATTGATGAACCAATAATTCACGAAACAAATAATGATTTAGAATTATTAACTTACCATCCATTTTATAATTATTCATCAAGTTTAGCATCATCAACAAATGATAGTTCAACAACACATTTATTCGACAATTATAATTATCAACGACAAATATCATCATCATCAATTGTTCAACAAAAAGTTAATCAATCAACTTCAACTCAAATACAAACAGGTTCAAATAAAAATTTTCGAAGACATTTATTTTCTTTTTTATATTTCAGAAAAAACAATACCATCATTTTATGTTCCACAAACTTATTCAACTAATCAATTTTTTATTCCAAATTCATGTCAACCATATTCTAGAAATTCATTTATAAATGTTTGTCAACAAACACGACCTGTATTCACAAGTCCATTTCAATGTACACGAGAACGTTTTCAAGTTAATTCAATAGGACGTCCGATTTTACGTGCTAACAATTATACACGTTTTTCACAAATAACTGGTTTCAAATTTCGACGATAAGAAGGATCGATATAATTCTTTTTATTTGATATATATATATATTTGTCAATCAAGGCTTTTTCTTTTTTTTTTTCGTTTTTGTTATTCAAGTGATTTCTTCCGATAAATCTTCTATGGTTGTGTGTATATTTACTCAATTAATTCCTATATTACTCAATCGATTATATGTTTTCTTTTTGTTTTATTGTCGAAAGCTTGTTTACGTAATGTAGTATGACATTGTTCACAGGAGAACAAAAGAAACGAGTGTTATCAAAAGCTTTTTGATGAAAATAATATTATTGAGCAGAAATATATACATGTATATATATAAAGTAAATTAGACAAAATAAAAAACGCTGGTTTATGAAAGAAATGGTGGAATAGTATCACATGCATGAGGATCATTGTCTCGTGCTTTGATAAAACTACATAAAAGTCCTCGACGACAATTATGATCACATTGATTTCCATTAGCATAGGATTTAGTATAATATTGATAAACTAAACCCATTAATGTACCATCTAAATCATTTTGTAATTTTTGTACAAGATTATTCCAGTCATTAGGAAATAAATTTTCCATTTCATATGCATCACGAGCATCATATTCATCAATAAAAATTGTTTCATTATACAGATTCGATGCAGTTAAATTCATAATTACTGTACGATGATCAAGTACCCAATAGGAACTTTCAGGATATTCACCATCGATTGAATAGATACGATAACCAGGATTTAAATAAGAACTTGTTGTCAATGATGGTCCCATATAAGCCTAAAGTTATAATAAAAAGCATTATAATTTGTTTAATACAAAGGAAAAAAAACATCAAACCATCGATACAGGTCGTTTTTGATCGACTTCATCGTAAAACATTAAAAATTCATCATAGTGTGTATGTCCATAAAATTGACCAGTAATCGTATTTTCATATCTAAATCAACAGAGATTTCTATAGATAATATGAGATCATTTTTAATGTCTACAGTGGCATCTCCAGGTTTTCTTTGAGAATTAGTGAGCAAAAAAAGTCGAAAAATTTCTCAAGATTGATGGAGTGAAAACTTTGCCTCAATTTGGAATACTCCTCAATGTCTAACCTATTAACAATCTTATAAAAGTTCCAACCCCATGATGCTAAACATGATCGTGGTGGATGATGTCCAATAATATGCACTTTTTCTTCGTTATCTTCGGCATATTGTAACCATTGAATTAACTAAATAATGATTATTCGTAATCATGTTTTCATGATTATAAAACTTACCCATTGAAGTTGACCGAGTGGATCAGTTGTATTAATAAGTAACCAAAAATTTTCTCTTGAACAATAATTCATATTAAGTGAAATTAATCGTAAACCAGGTCGCACTAATGTTGTGTAAAAAGCTCCACGTTCAATACTATCACGTGTATCAGCTGGTAAACCAAGTTTTATCCAACTATTAGCTAATGCTTCATATAACCAAGATATATTATCAGTTCGAATATTTGGTGTTGGATATAGATTACATGGAGCTATACAAAAGAAAAGATCAAATAACTAATGAGACATAATATAGTAACAAAATGATATACCAGCTTCATGATTACCAACAGCTGAATAAAATGTTTTATTTGGAAAAATAGTTGCTAACATATTATTAATAGTATTGAGGGAATAGAGTTGATCAGAACGAGATTGATTCCAGACATTATGAGCTGGTAAATCACCAGTATAATATATAAAATCAATCTTTAAAAAGATACAACAATTAAATGTTAGTATTGATAGTAGGGAGCTGCTGGTCTACAAAAATGTCGGTCTGCTGCTCCCTGATTATTAGAAAGATTATAATTACATTTTCTAATTTAGCAGCATATTTTAATATCACTTCTGCAGTCCAATAAGGAATATCACAATTTCGATAGTCACCCCTTTAATAGTTTATATACATATAATTTAATATGATATTAGCAAATAATCTTACCAGAAACCAGCACCCGTATGACTAGGTACTATAAAATGATTCATTAACAATTATAAATTTTAAAAAAAATTGATAGAATAATTACTCACCAGGTCGACCTGCTCTGCAACATAATGGTTGAGAGCAATCTGCTTGAGATCCTGGTTTATAGGCAAAATCGATATGAATATCAGTTAAATGAAGAACATTCAGTTTTGGTGTTTCGGGCTAAATTCATGTTAAGAATATAAAAATAATCGATACGTAGTCTTTTTGAACATCACCTACCGCAGGAGGTTGTGGTGGACGAGGTGTTGGTTTTGGTTTGTCAGGAAATGTTACATTCCAAATAACTACAGGAAAATATGGTGGTGCTTGACATTCAAATGCCAGTGAGCAAAGTTCTTTATTTGTAAGTGGAGACATTGCAAGCACTTCTATTATAACATTCTAATGTGAAAACGAATCTTTAATTTCACAAATACAATAATAGAAGCTTTACTTTATATTCATTTACAGCTCCTAAGCAAACATTTTGATCAAGTAACTTATAGTATTTACAAAATCGAATAGCAACATCATCAATTAAATCTGATCGATTAATTCTGATAAGTGCTCGCATCTAAAATGTTTAGCTCTTGAAAATAGTTCACTTCGAAAAGAAAACTTTACTTCTGGAACCAACAAATCACAAGCATCACATAATGCTGTACTATTTAAATTACTAAATGTCCATCGTAACTTTTTAATATTCATTGATCTTTCCAAACGATGACGATAATTAGCAAGAGTAACAAATAGACTTCGATCAGTATCACTAAAAGGATCATAGATCGATCTATTGCTCGTATCTTCATAAATCGATCGAGCATTGATCATTATCAAGTAAATAATTAAGAAAGACAATAATCGAGAACATTGAAACATGAACGACATTGAAAATCCAAAATGACTAAAATGATGTAGACAATTATGTTTATTAAAATGATAACATTTCAAATTTATTTATCAATCAAAAATATTATTTAACAAAAATATGAATTACACTAAAAATAAAAAGATGAAAGACACAAGAAAAAGGATTAATTAAAAGGTGGAATGGAGTCACATGCATGAGGATCTTCTGAACGAGCACTTATAAAATCACAAATAAGTCCTCGACGACAATTATGATCACATTGACTTCCATCTGCATATGATTTTGTATAATGTTGATAAACTGTACCCATTAGTGGACCATCAATATCATTTTCTAATCTCTGAATAAAATCATTCCAATCATTAGGAAATAAATTCTTCATTTGATATGCATCACGAGCATCATATTCTTTAAGAAATATAGTTTGATTATATATATTCGATGCAGTTAGATTCATTATAACTGTATGATAATCAAGTGTCCAAAATGAACTTCCTTGATAATCACCATCAATTGTATATACACGATAGCCTGGATTTAAATATGAATAAGTTGTTACCGAGGGACCAATATAAGCCTATGTAGAAATATGAATGCATTATGGAGAAATAAAAAGAAAACGATATACCATTGAAACAGGTCGTTGTTTCTCAATTTCATCATAGAAAATCATTAATTCCTCTGAATGTGCATGACCAAAAAATTGACCAGCAATTGTATTTTCATATCTAGAAAAAATATTTTAAGTAACATATTTTATTTGAAAATTCATACCGATTAATAATTTTATGAAAATTCCAACTGTATGCTGCAAAACAAGAACGCGGAGGTTGATGTCCAATGAGATGTACTTTTTCTTCATGATCTTCAGCATATTGTAACCATTGAATTAACTAAAGAAAAAAAAAATATTATTTATATAATTATTTCTCATAAAACAATTTAACCCATTGAAGTTGATCGAGTGGATCAGTTGCATTAATAATTAACCAAAAATTATCCGATGTACAATAATTCATATTAAGTGAAATTAATCGTAAACCAGGTCGCACTAATGTTGTATAAAAAGCTCCATGTAAAATACTATCACGTGTATCAGCTGGTAAACCAAGTTTTATCCAACTATCAGCTAATTGTTCATATAACCAAGATATATTATCAGTTCGAATATTTGGTGTTGGATATAGATTACATGGAGCTATACAAAAGAAAAGATCAAATAATTAATGAGACATAATATAATAATAAAATGATATACCAGCTTCATGATTACCAACAGTTGAATAAAATGTTTTATTTGGAAACATAGTTGCTAACATATTATTAATAGTATTGATGGAATAGAGTTGATCAGAACGAGATTGATTCCAGACATTATGAGCTGGTAAATCACCGGTATAATATATAAAATCTACCTGTCAAAAATAATATACATATACATAAAATGAATTTTTATCTGATGAAAATTACTTTTTCGATTTCGGCAGCATATTTTAATAGTTCTTCAGCTGTCCAAAAAGGAACATCACAATTTCGATAATCACCCCTAAAGTATCGATATATAAATATGATATACTTTAAGATTGTTCGAATTCTTTACCAAAATCCAGCACCTGTATGACCAGGAACTATGCAAAAAAAAAACAGACATATTAAAATATTATCAATAAAACATCATGCATAATGTATTTACCTGGTTGACCTGCTCTGCAACATAAAGGTTGTGTACAATCTGCTTGTGATCCTGGTTTATAGGAAAAATCAACATGAATATCTGACAAATGAAGAATATTCAATTTTGGTGAATCTGGCTATAATAAACAAAAAAAAACAACGTACTGTACTACTTTATGTTAAATCATTCTTTTCAGACAGAACTAATTTCGTTAAATACTTTCATTATGAAGATGGTTTTAAATGATAAGAGATAGAGTTCTACTCACAGATGGAGGTTGTGGTGGTCGAGGTGTTGGTTTTGGTTTATCAGGAAATGTGACATTCCAACTAAAAGCAGGAAAGTCTCTTTGTGGTTGACATTCAAATGCTAGTGCACAAAGTTGTTTATTATTAAAAGGAGCTAATTCAACAACTTGAAAGACTACACCCTATTTAAACAAAAATAATTTTTCATCCTTTTTTCTTTTGG